TACATGTATCATGATACAGAGTTATATTGTGCCTTACAACTAACATTCAGCGGCTAAACATTTTCTATCAGCTTTATAAGGTTCTCACTGGCAAGTTTCTCTGATGTTTGTCCACTGAATCAGAGGGTAGACTATTACATGGAATACCAGATGCTTTGCACCTAATGAAATTACAAACTAGGGTACCGTATTTCCCGTCTTGAATCTAAAAAGGCTTACCAGTAACATCCTGATCAATAATTCATCCCTACCAGTAAGTGATGTATACATCAACCTATTTGACTCGGTTTCAATTCAGTTGAGGTGTATTTCACCCAGTCTACTTCTGGTGTACATCCAAAATATGACCAACATGTCAATTGAAATTCTATCTTATTGGGAATGCGCTATCTCACCTTTCTAGTTACTACATTAAGTGTTACGATTACAGTCAATTGCATCCTGCAAGAAAAACATGACATGTGCACACATAAATATTTCAGATAAACTATCTCTGTTTTCCATCTGGCTATCCAGGCTACGACACATTTACCCCATCACACATACAGCATGTTATATATATCACATGATATACCGGTATTAAGATTCTAGGCTTTGGATTGGACAAAACTGGAGGCATGAACTTCATTACTGACTGCTGGGCCTGGGCAGTATGCCATGGATGCAGATGAATTCAACAATGTGCAGTGAGACATGGGAACTACTCTTAGTAATCCCCTTCAAGTTGGTTCATTTCGATGTGCATATTTTCGTTTTAAGAATCGACAAATGGGGATGCGGTATACAAAACAAATATTGACTGCTTATTTTTCAGGAAACAGGCAAAATTATAGCTCCTCGGTTATCTTGAGAGTGCACTTTCTAATGTGCAGTTTCAAGATCACCTAGGGCAATAGTTTTAACCGTGCCCCTTGTATAATATATACAAATCTGCATATCTTCACATAAAAGAGAGAATCTAGCAGTCTAAATGACTAAATAAATTCACATATCAATTGATGGGGTTTCAGACTTTGTGATAACGATGCCTTTCAAACTGACATCTTCCGCTGCTAGCTCAAAACTGTCGTCGTCTTCCCTGCGTATGATGACCTCGTATGGACAGCATTCTGTCAACCCCAGACCAGAGCAGATCTTGGCAAAGAACCCCTTCTCCAAATCACGAACACTGTCCCACCAGCTTTCTAGATGCCAGGACAGTTGTTGAAAAGATGCATAGATTGATAACGATAGCGTGACTAAGAGGAGAATCACGGGCAGGGTGAGGATGAGTAGAGGACAGATTATCAGTCGGTGGACAAGCGTTCGTTCATCAAAGTAAAGCAGGAATACGTTGTACCATGTCAGGACACCGATATAACCAGTTACACACATTGCACACAGAAAGACGAATGGCAAAGACAGTATTGACAACAAAACTATGTGAGGCCCTTCTTGGTAACTGATTGTGAAGGCACTTCTCCGGCAATCAGGCTTCATCTTTACATTTTAATTCTCCTCCTGTTTGATGATAGTCATGGCCTCACATCCAGGCAATTCTAAACAGAGTCAATGTGGAATAATTTACCCAGCTTAGTCTTGAATCAAAATATAATCTTCATGTCCTTTCAAGATTCACTTGTCACTCATAATTGTTCATCATGTCCATGCAGATATATTATACCTCTATGTCTATGAGTATGACTCTGCACAATTGGAGAACATATTGTTGTCAACAAAATTTCAGTCCAGTCTTGACTTGAGTATATTCAGGCCAACCACTCCAGTCCAGGCAAGATTTCCATAGTACATGATCATCAATGATCAATATCATTTGGCTTTTGTTGATTAGATGATCGCTTCCTGTCTGAGCTGAGGCTGAGTCTATTTGGAAACGCCTCATTAATGCTGATTTATGTCATTTATATTATGACACGACATTTCATCGGTGTCAACCTGGAAAAACGGAATCCCGAAATGAAACAAGCTTTGGATCTGACTTGTTAGGCCTCTACTAACATTTTTATCAACAGCTTAGCCTATAAACTTGTAAACACTGCACTGTTTATATGATTACGGTACATACACAGTACACATGTACTACTACACGCAAAAATTGCATAGCTTCGATACTGTACTATACCTAAAGGAAACCGCGCGCTGAAAATCAGTCGCGAAGTTTCTATATATACAGGCTGCCAATTTAAGACCAAATACACTGATCGAATAACCAGCTCCAGAAAGAAAGAAAGTCTCCGTCGCGAAAACCATCGATGAGACCCGCCGCTTCCGAATAGAGGCGGCAGATTGAGGGAAGGGGGTACCACCAGCCCATACGCTTGCCCAGGGGCGGCGATCCCGAGGACAGGGGGAGGGAGCACGACCCCCATCTACTGAGTGGGGGGGGGGGGGTGGGGTCGTCTCTCCGGAAAATTTGAAAAAGCGCAAACAAAATAAAATGTATAGCAAATACTGACTAAAGACTACAACATTCTTTTTTCTGGAGGGCCCAAGGGTGCAGCGTTTAGACTAATAAACATGCAATATATCTTCTAGCTCGGTCGCTAGCCTCCCTCGCATAATATCCGTCAAAATGTAATGGTATTTTGTTGGTATCACGTATAAGCACAGTTTACAATGTATGTACTATGTGCTACAAAAATGAATATTCCGCTTGCTCTTTTCAATAAGGAGCCACTATAACATATTGTCTATATATTTGCCAGGCTGATATTTGCCATTTCAACTCCCACAGTGATATCAATATACACGTATATTATGACACAGGCCTAGTGTGGGAAATAGAAAAATCTCATCCATGCCCAAGCTCCTTACTTAATAAATTTACGTAAAGGTGAAGTGTAAAAAAGGTAGGTATCAGTCGTAAAAACAAGTTTTCGCACAGAAGACCATCCTAACGGTGTGTCGCCGTGAGAGATGACCCCACCCCCCCCAAAAAAAATCAACACTTAATTGCACACTTTCTTCTCCTATTGAAGCCCATGGTTGGATGGAGTTATAACCAAAATGTGTAGGAATCACCTGTTGGAAAGGGAGATCTCCCCCAAAAGGTCCTATAGGGGGCAGCATCCCAATGTGCCCATATGGCAACAATAATACATTTTTAAAAGGAATTCAGAATGGATTTTGATTAAACTTGATGGGATGCATTGATCAAGCAGAGGATGATATGAAATTGTTCTGAATGGTTACTGACTCCTCCAGGGGATGTGGCTTGGGAGTGTAGCACCCCGCCCACCCCCCCCCCCTACAAAAAGATATCTTCTCGTACATTTTGGACTTCTTTTCAAAAATGCCATACCAGATTTTAATCACTTGGTAGAGATCATCTTTAGAGGCAAGGGTGATCTAAAATTGTTCAAATGGGGTAAGTACCACCAAGGGGAACCTGGGGGCAGCGCCCCCCCCCCAGATTGTCAGTGGCAGTAATTGCACATTTTCTACTCCTTCTTGAAAGGGAAGAAGACCTTAATTTGTTTGAATGGGATACATGTCCGTGCAGGAGACTTGGGAGAAGCAGATGTCCCTATGCACTGTTCCAATGAATCCCATTTTCCTGGTGCAAAGAAAGGGAATGAAAGCTCGATACCTTAATGCGAGGTTCTTATACTTTCATCGGCTCAGGTGAGCATATAAGGTCCGTGGAACTATTGTTGAAAATATATTCATAAACAATTATCGCCTAGTGGCTGTGATGGTTGAGGCAAATCACTGGTTCCTGGGATCAACATGACAATGGAATTAGATTTTGGGGTCTATTATGCTGTTTCTTATAAGTTGTTGCTGTTCATAGTCTTTTTAAATGACATTGATTTGAAGTTCATCGTTAATCAAACAGTTTACTGGTATAAGTATTATTTCGTAATTCTTATACACGTATGAAGGTTCCCATAACGGAAGGGAAGGGGGTAAAAACATTGCCGCAATGAGCTAGTATCGGGTGTCATGGGGGTGCGACCCCCCCCCCCCGGAACATGAGAACCTCGAGCTTTATCAGGCCGAACTGAAAATGTAAACAACAATTTTAGAATGTCTGCCTGGTTTTGATTCTTAACTGGCTAAATTTGTTATGATTCCATCTTGATTATGTCACTCTCATGATCAGAGACACGAAAGAAATCAGGATCGAATTGAGACAAAGAGGAGATTGTGGGGATTATGCAGAGGCGGATCCAGGATTTGCCGATAGGGTGGGGGGGGGGGGGGCCTAAAATTTGAAAATCCGTTTTAGTCCCCGGTAATTTGAAAATCGCGCAGACCGTTATTTTCGCTCAGTGGGGAGGGGGGAGGGGGTAGTATGAGCACTAACTAAACATAATTATATAAAACACAATTTTTAAATATTTTTAAAATTATTATTACGAAGCAAAGTCCAGGGGGGGGGGCCTGTCGCCCCCCCTCCCCCTCCGTGGATCCACACCTGAATCATGTATATCATTGGAGTTTTCAAACGTCTGGGGACCTAACACTACGTAGTGTTAGAGTTCATTGAGACCCTCTTTGGTGCAACCGAAGCTTATATGGGTGCCACAGAACTTGAAAATGGCGGGAAAAGGTGGGATGCATCAAGGAGCTCTAGGTAGGATTCTTGGAGGCATCGACCCTCAGTCTTAATTTTCGGGAGCCACGTGCGCGTTATCTATCTGGTCCGGATAGATATAATAATTTTCCAAATATATCAATTAGTAGGTGGTTTCTCGGCAAGATGTATCATCACGTATTAGTCAAAACATATTCTTTCACATTATTGGTAATAAGAGCTTCCATTTCATTTTTTGAGAGGGGGGCGTTTCCGAAACTGGAGTTTACCTTTCATTGGTTTTAAATATTATTCCACTTATTCAAACTTCTCGTTAAAGTACTCTTCCCTATACTTTTTTATTTGATTTTTTAGTAGGTACCTTCTATATCAACATGAATCACTTTTAAAAATTAGGATAACAAATCATTACATTTTTGACACTCATCAAATTGACGAGTAATTATTTACATGTTATTTTATACGGTATGTACAACTCGAATCGTACGTGATCGTGAAACAAGAATATGAGCGTCAATTTGCTACGGACCTAAAATAGTTTTCTGGAGTTTTGACATGGTGTATTAGAGCTCGTATGGATGCCCCAGAATCCCAAGTCAACAACTAGGAAATTTCTTTCATATGTCGCTGAGCTTGAGAGTGAGAAGCCTGTTTTATAGCCATAGCTAGGTGAGTATTGCTAATCGTGTTGCACGTAAGCGCAGTCTCCATGTACTGTTTACGTGTGCGTGCACTGCACTGCTCGGATCTCAGCTACAGCTCACATGCAGTGTGCAGTGCAGTGGTAGTGCACGTCTACGTCTATGCTGGTACTAGTCAAAAGCCTTTTCAGCAACTAAACGAGGATATTGTGGTGTGGTGTCTCTCATAGTGGTCATGATTGATTAGTGCATAGTGCGTAGTGCAGTGTTGTTGTGCATTCAAGTTCAGGCTAGACAGACAAAAACCTTCTGGTTTGTGGAATTCTGTGAAGAGTGATCCATCCTTCGTAATAATTTGATTTGTATGAACTTGGTTGGTTGGTCCTCCAAAAATAAAAAACTTGTCTGACTCTGAGTCTGAGGCATGAGGTTTAACTGGAGGTGCGGCGTGGATAGTCTAGATGTATCTAGGGACAAGGGGGGGGGGGGGAGGACGTCTGGCAATTTTCAATTTGACATGGTCAGTGTGGGTGACAGCCTCCGGTTTAAGCTGGTTCCAATCACGCACTGTTTTCATGAATTGATTTCGCGAATGTGTCTGTTCTTGAGTGGGTTTGTTGAAATTGCCTGTTTATATGTATGCCCTCTTCTATCTCTGGTCGTTTTACTTTTAGGTTGGGTGTAGTCTTGAACGCGGAAAATAACAAACAGAATTGCAAAAGTTTGGTCTAGTTGCGGAAGTTGCCTCCTAAACTTCGATAGAAGTTTTCTCTGCCTTTTCATCATGTTTCATATTCAGGGGTTAGAGAACAGCACTAGCACTGCCACTGCCTTACCAAAAAGAGAAACTATTTGCTGTTACAGAGTTACTAATCACTGCTTAATGATGACATGACACAGGTCTGCTTAGTTTAATAATTCCAGCATCATTGATGGAGCATGTCATTTTCCATTCATGTTATTACTTCTCTCTTTATTTTACAAGGTAGACCTGGAAATCAACTGTAAGCATGGCTAACCAAGATTCAAGCTTCACAGATTCCAGTTTTGATACAAGTGAGTTTCATCCTCCCAAAAAAAATTGTACTTCTGTTATTCAAGTGAGAAATGAAAGATTAATTAATGAAATAATTTTTCCTTCATGGCAGTGAAAAAAATACACGGGGGCTTGGGGCGAAATAGCCCCCGAAATGCCCAAAAGAGCCCCCCAAAATCAGAAAAGAGCCCTGTAAATTTGCATAGAGCTCAATGCAAAACAAATTTTAGAAAGTTATTTTCATGCAGGCAAGCTTGAAAAGTAGCCCCCGAAAAAGAAATATTATTTTTTTCGCTGCTTCATGGCTACATTATTCATGTCAGAAATTTTCAGTTTATTCCATTAGAATCATGTACATGAAGTACTGCACAATAACAGTACTTACATGTAAAGCCAATTATTATTTTAGCCTCACATGACATTTCACCTTTTCACTGTACATTTCATACCCTGGATAATTATGAAAAAGTATCTTTATAGGTTTAATATGCTTCATTTACTTTTTAAATCAGGTTTGTCTACTGAAAGTGGAAGCCAACTTGCATTATGAACACTAATTTAGAATATTTGCAGACAATACATATTGACCCTCTTAATCACTCACTTTCATTGTAATCATTTGCAATGAAAAGGAAAGTTATGTTTAAAACATCATGTTAATTTCTTTCTCATGAAGTTGAGATTAGATTTAATGATGCTTATTTTGTATCTCCATTTTATCTTTCCTTTGAAGGTTTCCCAGATGATTCTAGTGTGAGGAGTAGTCTATCAAGACAGAACAGTGTTACCGGAATGTCAGGTACAAACACTGTCTTTAGTTATTATTACACCTTTTCAATGTAGTGCTGTAGCCGAACCGCCGAACCGAACGGAAGTTCGCCGAACATGGCACTTCCGAACCGAACCGAACCGAACCGAACCGAACGCAAAGGCCTGGTTCGGATGTTCGGCAGAAAAATGTAAATGTTTTTGCAAGCTAATAAACATGTCATTTTGTACCTAATTTTCATGTCATGATTGCTCATTTTATATTTACTTTTTTCCCTTTTTCCGCCTTTGTGATTTATGCTTATCCAGTGGTGGTCGCGACTTCACTGGCGCAATTTAAATCCCAAATCCTGACCACGCTACGTCGCGATCGCAAGCCATAAACAAGAATACATGTGCGTGATTAAAAACAACTTCAGCTCAAATCCATTCAACAAAAAAATAATATTTTAATTGTAACAATATCGGACAAATTTTATAATATAAATAATGAAATAAATATATATTATAGTATGGTATTTATTTATTCAGGAAAAATAGGGATTTCATATTTTTCCTATTGAAAATAAAAACTTATCAAAAACAGTTATTGACGAGCCTGCATGAGTCTCTATTTAAGATGGCAGCTTTCATGACTCTAACATTAGACAATAACCGTCTCGGAAAATCTTTACAAAATATTATTTATTGACAAATTAAAAACATGATTCTTTTAAAATGAAAATAAAACACGATTCAAGACGGAAATACGAATGTAAGTAGTATTTTTCTTCACAAATAATTACGTTTAGAGCAGTTTTTAATGTGAAATTCGTGCTGGTCGGAAGCAGTGTGCAGAAGTCCTCCGTGCTGGTCGGGCCCGGCAGGCAGGCCGACCCGCCCAGTGCCGACCGCCGTGGCTATAACGCTGCTTGCTATTATATTACCGAACCCCGAACCGAACCAAGTTCGGGTGAAAAATTGCCGAACTCTGCCGAACCGAACCGAACACGAACATAGCGTCTGACTTACAGCACTATTTCAATGTCATAGTCCTAAATGTAATGACATACATGGAGTAACAGGAGATAAGATGACCTTTTCACAAGCTGTTTGGATTTGCAATGAAGTTCAATTTTTCTTTGCAGCTCCTTAGAGCTTTCCAGAAGTTGGACTCTCCACTCCTTTGCCTATTTCTCTGTGTGAATTTATACCACTAGATGTTTGAAACCCATTGTGACTTTACTATTTAAAAGGTGATACTGCCCAGTATCAGAGGGCATCTGTAGAAACTAGAATCTAAGCCTTGTATTATTATATTATTCCATACTAATTGAATCTTGTAATTAAATTGCTATTCTCTATAGTAGACTTTGATATCATTGCAGAACTGTAAAAAAAATAACATAATGAACATGTGTTTAATATAAAGTGTCTACATGATGAGAGTAAAAAGAAATTTTACCAGAAGGAAATAAAACTTTGAAGGAAATATTATAATTCAGATCTTACTTTTGTCCTCCTATTAATATGTTGTAGATGATGACGATGAGGCAGAGGCATATAAGAGCTACAAAGACAGAAGAAGGAATGCTCATACTGCCGCTGAGCAGAAAAGAAGAGATGCCATCAAGGTATATATTCTTTTCTCACAACTCATAATGTACTTTCATTGATAAAACAGGATTTTTTAAATAATACTGCAGATAAGTCATAAAAATGAATACTCATTATGAATTTAGAATAGATGGATCTCCTTCAACTAAAGCTTTGATATTGAAAAATGGTCAATTATAGCACACATTATTGTTAAATTCCTTTCTTAACATATTCCAGAAATTGAATTCCCTGTAGGTTACTGTACATGCGCTCTGTCATATTGTGCTTTCTTTACTACTGTTTTGGTGGCAGCACTAATAAAGCCTTTGGCTTTCCTAGCTGTCTCCACATTCATATATATTTTTATTGTTGTATTCTATTGCATTGTTAGAAAGGATATGAAGACCTGCAGCTGATCGTTCCTACGTGCCAACAGCCTGATCAAGTTGGATCACAGAAACTCAGTAAAGCTACCGTCCTGCAGAGATGTAAGTTATATCTTTCTTTATACAATCAAACCTGCTTTAGTGACCACCTGTCTACAAAGACCACATTTTTTGTTTCCCCTTGAAAATGGTTTCTCAATGAAACATGTACTAAAGGAACCTGTCTACAAAGACCACGTTTTGTGTTTCCCTTGGGCGGTCGCTATAGACAGGTTTGACTGTATTTGGAGAAAGTACTTATTAACAAGGATGCCAGTTTTCAGGCTATTGCTTAAATTCAAAACCTTTTTTATGCCTATCTGTTGCATGCCTTTTCAGGCTTTTATTTGTAGTGAGCAGAATGTATGGGGCAACAACATGTCTCTTTTGAGGCTCATTAAGTAAAAGCAACTGGCATGATGGCATCCCTGTATAGACCAGTTGGTAGATACAACCTGCGGATGAGCTGACAAGGGTCATTTGTGATAAAATTGTTAAACCCACCGAGATGAATACATGCTCATGTTATGTAATCATTATTAGTTTGTGCACATACGGTACATTCTATAATACAAGAGGGCAAATAAAAGCTATTCATGAAGCACATACATGACTTTGGCATTGATTATTCTAAAATACACAAAGTGAGACTTCCCCACAAGTAAAAGATCTGTTGATATTTGGGGTCATTTGTCCCATGTGCTAACTACGAAATGGTCTATTAAGAGAACATATCTGTTTTTTGTAATAAACTTGTCATTTCATACATTTATATCCAATACAGCATAACAATCAACATTGCAATTTACAAAGTTGGATCTAGGGTTTGGCAAAGTGTTGATAAAAATTATACAATTTTCGCTCTTTCATCCAGGTTCCTGGTGTATATTTAATATTTGGCTGGTGTGCTTAATAACGGATATCGTGTGCCTAAAATTGCTAAAGAACTAACAATTTACCAATATAATTATATTCATGTGGACACATCCCTAAATATTTAAAAATGAGAATGAAATACTACTGTACTTCATTATCAAGATGTGTAAAATATTTTTTTTCTTCTTCCAGCCATCGATTACATCCAGTATCTGATTCAACAGAAGAAGAAGCAGGAAGATGAATTGGAGGCTCTCAGGAAAGAAGTCATGGCACTCAAAATTATGAAAGCGTGAGTATTGTGTTTTTTTTCTCTCTTTTTGAATCTTTTAAGTCTATTTCTATCTATTTTTTTCAACTGCCTAATATTCAATGTAAATAAATGAGCAGTTGTTTTTCGAATGAGATGACACAAACATAATGGCTTTTGACCCACAATCATTACTTCGGCCCAAAATTGGTATAAGAGGATTTTGACAATATTTATGAAAAGCCTGCTGTTCAGTCATCCTTGGCAGCACAATTATGAGATAACACAAACACAATGGCTTTTGTCCCACATTCATTACTTCAGCCCAAAGCTGGTACAAGAGGATTTTGACAATACATTTTGAAAAGCCTGCTGTTCAGTCATCCTTGGCCGTACAATAATGAAAATGACATCATTATACAAAGTCTTAGTTCTTCTTTACAATGAAATATGATTAAAGGTCACATTTATTATAACTCTTTAATTAGAAGCTACCAAAGTTGCGTACACTTTTTTTGATATGCACTGTATCATTGTATGTGTTACCCTTCCCAATATTTCCTATTACCCAGCTAATGTAACTAAGGATCAGACGTTCTTCTATGCACCTGCCCAGGTGCAGAAATAATCCTTCCATGTTTTGGCCATTGATTGAAACAAAACATGTTTATTGTTGTTAATATATATCTTATTCTAATTCTGCATTCTTACAAGAAAAAAATGAGGACATTTAAGACATTGAATAGTATTCATATAGATGTGCAACCCAAGAAATATTCTGAATTCCTTGAATAGTATTTTGTTATCACTTATCACTAATTATACAAAGCTATGCCCCATTTTCTATTCATACTCTAGGGGTCTCTAGCCCCTAAACAGAGCATAGCTTCTCACGCCCATTAGCCTTTGAGTGCCTTTCATGTTTTAGGGAGGACAGTCTATGTATTCTAAATCATTGATCTTTATACTTTTAATTTTGTTGATCAGTAACTATGAGCAGATTGTCAAGGCGCATCAGAACACACCAGGCCGTGGTCAGAACCAGGTGTCAGACCAAGTCAAGTTCAGTGTGGTAAGTTATATGGTTGATAACACATGCTATGGTAACAATCGCTATTCAGTCATTTTTGTACTTCAGCTATGGTTCCAAAACTCTACCTGACCCAAAACCTAGACTCAAACCCCATTTCAAAAAAAGCCTTAATGTAAATCTTTGATGAAATATATTCTGAAACAACTATCACCTGTGCATGTTTGAAAATTGAAAGCATGCTTACTCATGCTATTTATTGGAATGGATTAGGTGTTACGAGAGTACCATTACATAAAATATGATTTAGAAATGATCTGCAATATTTGAAGATATTCAACTTAATCCATTGGCTACCGAGTCATCTCATTCCCATAGACTTAGTACAGAAACCACCTGGTTCCCGCAGCTTGTGGATTAATAAATTTCTAAGATAACCGTAAACCAGGGCTTGACATTAACATGGACCCCAAATTGAACTTGATTGAATTGCACCTAAAAGTTATATTGTACAACCAAATATTAGTATACACACTTGTACTTGTTGATATTTTATATTTTAACCCGTGTATATTGCTTTGATGACAGTTTAAAGCGATCATGGATGCCCAGTTCCAGACCTTCAATGCCTCTATATCTGTCGCTAGTTTTGCAGAGCTTTCGGCATGTGTATTCAGCTGGCTAGAGGAGTACTGCAAGCCTCAGGTTAGTTTCATCCTGGTTACAACAGAATTAATTTATTAGCTATTCTCTCATGTGAATCACAGTCATACTCTGCTTTCAATTACATTGATTTAGTGTTTTGTCATGAAGAGAAATGTAATTAAAGGGATCCGGTAACTTTGTCTCAGATTCTGAAACAAAATTCTGGATTTAGCTCATGATGCAATGATAATTATAAACCTTTAGGTCAGCCAGGAACCCCATGACTTTTACAAGCCGATCGCCTGTCTGATTATCAAGATATTTATGATTGGAATTACAAATTTTGAAAACCGTTTGCCTGGCGGTTTTCATAACACTACAGTCTATTGGGGAAAACAAGTATGGTAAAACCGGTCACTCAAAGATTTTTACTTTTTTGAGGCACTTCTTGATCATTTTGAAGCGCAATTTTTTAGGGCTTCAATATTACACCATATCACAGACACTGATAACACGTAGGGCCGTGTATCTCAGATTTAACATTGTTAAACGATCCCTTTAAAAGGGAACATGAGAGAAAGAAGTAATTATCTGCACAACACAGGGATGCTAATTTGTGGATATTTCATTGATAAAAGGTGTTTTTTAAATAAACTATTTGATATTATATGGTTTATCTGCTCTTAATGTTTTAAAGTAGTTTCTGTGATGACTGCAGGTTCACAAGCAATTTTTTTCCCTCATACTGAACAAACACTTTGAAACCTCTATTTTAAACTAAATTTCTTCTACATCTGGATAGTATGGATTTGAAGCATGATGTCCGCTATATCTTTCCCTTATCTGGGTGCATCAAGAATATTGCATCATGAACAAAAAGAAAGAAAGAGAACACAGAAGTGGTGAAAATATAATCTAGCATGGATTTTTTTCACAGACCTTATTAGTTATGAGGTTTATCTGAAGTTAAATAGTCAGTTGTCACTATCTAGTCTCCTCATACCACTTCTTGTGTATTTTATTATTGATTATCATATTTTGTTATTTCACATTAGACACTCCGAGAACTGGTTGCTGAAGTCTTGAGGAAAGCAGGTCAGAATCAACTATACTGAACTGCAGGGATTCCATAAACAATGCAAAGACACTTTTGGAAAGTGATATATATATAAATTAAGGAAAATACAAACATTGAGGAGAGGGAATCTTCAGTTTATGCCTTGGAATACTCTCAACCCCCACCATTTTGTTTCATCCCCTGAGCCAGTGCATGCCGTATTGATATGGACATATCCTGAATGCTATTGGAGACCGACTCGCGCATATACTGCATTAACAGTGAGAGCGATGTGCATAATTAACAGAGCATATAGTCGACTTGAGTTTCCATCATTAGTCTTCAGCAAAGCATAGGACTCTTCTTGAGTTTGGACTTTCAATGGTTGCCATTGAATGCAGGGACCTCAGGGATAGCACTTTGTTAAAGCCTATCTGCACTAGTTTGGCCAGGAGGGATTATACCTCCCTGCATGGTCACCAACAGGTGGTTACACTATGAACATGACTGACAAAGAAAGCGGACATAATGTACAGTTCCTCAGGTAGACAAAGGAACATCCCTTCACTGCTATTATGTAAAAATGTGTAGAACAGGTGTCACATGCATATTCACCTGTTCTACACATTTTTACATAATAGCAGTGAAGGGATGTTCCTTTGTCTACCTGAGGAACTGTATATTTTGTCCGCTTTCTTTGTTCGTCATATTCATAGTGTTATCTCATCAAATCAGCTCTCAATTAACATAAGAAAAAGGGGACAAAAGGGCACCGCTAGGGCATCGTTTGCTATATAGATGGTGAATGTAGCTACAAGTAGTGCAGTCCCGCTTTAAATAAAACTGTAAATTGAAATCAATAATACGTCAACGAAACTCCAAGCCTTTTCTTGATGTGAACATCTTTCCTGTTTTGTTAGATTTCCTTGTACAAAAATCATACTGGTATAATTTATTGAGGAAATCGTGTTTTACACAGTCAATGTAGGTAAAGTCCAAACATGTACAGTGTACATGTGACTTTTTAAAAATATTGTATTGAGTATTGAAATACACATTCATTGATTTATGTTTCATTATTCTTTTATCAAAAATTAGACAATGAAAATATATCCAAAAAATTGTTTAGAAATGTTCACAAAAACATAATGCTGAAATGTCAAATGTGTATTAAACAGTGAATGTTGATTTCACGCATGAATAATAAAAGCATTGAGATTTCGACTTGATCTAATGTATTCAAAATGTATTAGATTGTATCAATTTTGCATTTTATCATTTATTTGCTTGAAGTTGTCATCTTATTATATAATTGATTTCCTGTCTCTTGTAGGCTATGCAAATGACATGGATTTTTTTGTTTCAAAGGAATGTATGGATTGGGCGACATTTCTGGTATACTGTATTACATTTGCAATGCTGCATATCCTTTTTGAATGAAGTGTTCACGATCATATCAACCTTGTGTAAGATTTATTTGACAAAATAATTGGATATCCCTGAGTGAAGATATTTTGTGTCCATTTATATTTTAATACATTTGTTTTAATCAAAGATCCAAAGTCTTGTAGGGGCCTCTCATTCGTATGTAATATTTATATGGAAACCTGAAAAAAAAAGAACTTGTGCTCTAGTGATTGCAAGAGTATTGACATCCGTATCTCTCTAATACATGTATATCAACAAAACAAGCTTCCTTCACAATTACAGTACAAACGCTCTAGTGATATCAAGACAGAAGACAGCAAGGAAAATTTTGCATACTACATTTTTAGGTTAGTAGAAGGTAGAAGCTCAAACAATTTTGATTAATACCAACATGTTCATCCAAACATATGCTGTGACTGACCACTGTACAGAGATAGATTTTAATGATCAATAATGTATAGATCTCTCAATATTAGGCATCAACCATTGATGCTAGATTTCAAAAGCTGACTCATGTACCTTTTGAAGTTGTTTGAAATCCTGTGCTGGTATGTAGGGGGTGGAATTTCAGATTGTATGTTAAATTTTGATGAATTGTGTAATAAAATGTTGAATTTATTTTGAATTTATGATTATTTGTGATTATTGATGAGAGTGTATCCTTTTTACAAGCAATCGCCATCAAAACACATTTCTTGACAATGTATGTCTCATGTTTGGATCAATCTTCTAAAGCCTTGGTCACACTAGTGATCCTGTTGATCAAACCATAATATTTGGGTTACATGTTCTCTCAGTAAGGCAGCAATTCATGTGAGAGCATCTACAATCCAGCATTTCTGGAGAAAATCGCCTTGGGCTTTAGCAATAGGACATTTTAATAGGCCTTTCTTCTCATTGATTAATAACAGGTTAATAGAAGAATCATCAATTGGTCCCCAGAAGAGAAACATCCATAATTTTGAATATATTAGTAAATCAGTGAATTATAAAATGTTCAATAATTGCCATGATTTGCTTTTTTTTAAAGAAGTGCGACTTGGCTTGTTAAATCGCATGTCTGGTGCACTGATAATTACTTTGCTCTCACAGCCATATTGTACATGTGTACTTACAAAATGCACCCGATATATAATACCTCTCTCTCACAGTGTTCTACATGTTCCACTCATTCCATCCTTATGATTATAGGCCAACTAGCCCCCACCACCACTGCCAAAGATGTATATATATATCCCCAAGACATCACCCTAATAAGAGATTGAGGGGGCAGTGATTTTTGTTTTTGAGGGAGGGTAATTGAGACTGTCAAGAGTAGGGGGGGGGGGAGTTGTACAGAAGCACACTCGACACTAGTATGTTCATTTTATAAATTAAAACATTAAAAAACATAATAAATCATATTCACACATCAACAATAACTTTGGATCTGAAATTTTCAAATAATTCATCATATTTATTCTTGTATGTCTGCCTAGGAAACCCTATCCCATTACACAATAAAAGCAGAAACAATGTCACTATATATATGTAAATATTTACATGTATACAATTATACATAAAAGTTAAAAAAATTGAAATATGAAAGTACATGAATACCGGTACTGAGCTTTCATACAGATGATACAGCATGTATTTGATTTTTACGAAAATGATCTGTTCCAAGATATTCTTCCATTCTGATATTAATAGAGTTGCATTTTGACAGAGGTAAGAAGAATCGTTTAAAAATCGTTTATCATATATTAGATGGGTTATTTGAATCGGCAAAACAAACATGTGTATCAAGAATAATAATAAAGCAAACGAACATTCAATGGATATGGGTAAAGCTGAAAGCGAGCATAATCATATTGTATGCAAGTAAATTGGAATGATTCCTTTGATTTTCTCAGCTTTCTTTGCTCATTACTTGGCTATTATACATTTTCTAAAAGGTCTTGTCTGATATCACTTTATTTGGAGTCTTGAACATTCATTTTTAATCAGCATTACGAGAACTAATATATGTAGTTTAAAATATTCCTGAGATCTTGCTCAAAATAGTACACCAATTACATTTAAAATTTGCCTAAACATTATTCAAACAATCATGAAATACATGTACTCTGATGAGATTGTAACTGATCATTAGACTCCTATCTGCCTAAACTAAACTATTGAGATGAAATTACAATCGATCACAACTATCTCCCACTCTCCTGCCATCAGAAAACAACATTTAAGATTTTGGGAAAATCTCGGCCTTTTCCAAGTCAAATAAAAATGTACTTATCATTGGTGCTATTGAAGTACCTTTTTAAAAACTCTCATTTGATCTAGTGGAGCAGATATTTCATTTACCATCTGTTGACATTAAGTAGACTTTTCTCCACGTTCCTCAATATTTTTCATGTCGATTTCTGGAAATTGTTGACAGTGACACTTCTCTTTCAAATCTTTGTATTTTTTCTTGAATTGCTCTAATTCATGACATTGTCCCAGCAGACTGCCAACTGTTTCTCTCAGGTCTTTATTCTCAAAGGTGAGTTCTGTCACTTTCTCTGACAATGAAGTTTTCTCCTGCTTTAGATGTTGCATATCTTTTTCCAGTTTATCAAGGCACTTCCATGTTTCCTCTCTTTGCTGCTTGGCTAGCTCAAGATGTTTATGCAATGATTTTGTCCTTGGTGATACATATTTCTTGGTGAAAGTCTTCTTTCTACTCAGCATGAATTCTTCCTCGCGCAAATACCCCAGGTCTTTTTCTCCATTCTCAGTGTCTGTTTCTGCTCTGACTTTTCTTTCCACTAATCTCTTTATGTATGCTCCCACACTCCAATTACCGACCTCTGGACTATTATTTAGTCTTTTCAAGTTTTTAATCAGAACGTTGAAGTCATACATCTGCGTTTCATGAAGGTAATCATAGATTTCAAGTACAAGTCCATTCTTGATAGTTGGCATGGGTGATACGTTCTGGAAGCCAGATGTAATGTCTGCTGCAGATATTCCTGCTTCTCTGCAGTATGGTCCAACATCTAGCAAAAGAGAAAAAAGGGTAAAATATGATATATTAAAAGTACATTCATATAGTATCACAACCTATAATTAACAACAAATTTTAATTTCAGACAACTGAACTAGAAAGCCATCTTCAGGTGTGGGGAAAATGCACCTCATTACAATTTCATTTCATCTACTTTTCATCTCCATGTATTCTGAAGAGTGTATATAAATGTTTGTTGTTTACTCTTGTGTTTACTTGACAAGAAACAGGTTCTAAGTAAAACATGGTACTTGCAAATTTTATTTGCCTAATAGTAATTTTTCCATACAGATGGTCCTTCCCTTACAATATACAAATACTGTAGGGGGAAATTTACCACTAGGTCTGTCTTTTACTTTACAACAAGAAAGTTCCTGGGTTTTGGATCTACTCATTGAAAACATTTGAACATAGTTTTGGTGGTAACTCTTAAAGCTTATCTGCCATTGTTTACAGGAGGGATTAGACTGCCCTGCAAGGTCACCGGACAGATGGTTATCTCATCAACTCAGCTCTCAGTTAACATAAGAAAAAGAGGATCATGGGGACCAATGGTCACCGATTAGGCATTGTTTGTTATAAAGAGGGAGCAAGTAGCTACAAGTAGTGCAGTGGGCCTTTAAGAACAACAACATCAACAACAAATAAATTTAAGTCCAGTCTCAATTAAGGTTAACACAATAATAACTTCCTTTCTCAGTAGACTGAAGTTAAACTTAAATTTAGTTTTTCTCTTTAGTAGAGTAGAGAACATGCATGCTTTCATCTGAAACATCACTCATTTGTTTGTGAAGTTAAAAACAAGACTAGTATGAGTTACAATGATAAGTACTTCGTGGAAGATGCTATTTCATTCTTAGTAATACATACTCAATACATGTGAGTTAGATTTGATGTGATTGATCACGATAACAGATATCTCATCAAATCATATTCAGAAAACACAAGTTATTCAATCTTATCAATCTACACTTGCCATATTCCTGTTCCTGTAATGTGCTGCACTGTGAAGTACTTTCCATTGATAGCATTACATCTGCAGGATGTGCAGGTGAATCCTCATCACTATCATCCAAGTCAGGATTTGGTTCATCTTCATCCTCTTCTTCCTCATCATTCAATGGAATACGTGATGGAAAGAGAGGAGGAATAGAGAACCCCTCAAATGATGTCTCTTCTGTGATATAAAAGAAAAGAACATAACAAAAAGTGACAGAAAGAAGCAAAAACAGGATCATGATAGACTTAAACAGCTGGACATTACTCAACCTGTATCATCTGTATGTTTGAGATGAATCAGACAAAGGATCAGAGTTAAGGCTCGTTCAGATATGACACAGCCAAACCACAGCAGTTTTCTCAAAAAGATGTTAAGTGTAATACGCTTCACATTTCTGTATCTTATGACACAGTCACACAGAGCTCAGTGAAATGAGTGAATACACTCTAGAAGTGATGGGAGTTTGAAAGCAAAGCCTTGACCAAAATCCTGAAAGAAAATTTGCAATATTTTTCTGGTACCTGACCAAAATCCGGAAAGAAAATTTGCAATATTTTTCTGGTACCTGGAACTGGACCGAACCTGAAAAACAGAAATATCTTTTAAGTTTTGCCTTACAACGTACGATGCCATCACAAGCACTGTCAAGACCTTTCCAACTGTGACAGTTCACTTTAAATGACTTATGATAGAATCACATAAAACTGGTATACCTTTTATGTCCTTAGAGCAAGCTCCATTTTTTGACTTTCTTGAGGTGACCACTTTCTGCTTCTTTCTGTACAAACAGGAGATAAAAATATAAAAGACCAAGTTCTGATTAAGAATGGCTAGAAACGTTCTTTCAAGCGTTAATAATCAGGCTCGTAAGTTCAGTCATTGATAATCCATATCAATATGCACACACATGTGGGGTTATGGAAACTTTTATACCTAAATAAAAATACTAATACAGAATACATATAAACTGTTAAATCAAGCATAAGCCTCTTCAAATTCATTTATCATTTCAAGTGTGAACAGCCACAGCTTATCATGAATTACAGCATGATAGACCATGATCTACACACCTTTCTTTTAAAGGAAGACACCTCTTTATAAGTTTATACTGAAGGGTGAGAGGGTGCATAAAAATTTCTTTGACATACATTTGCTGATGTGACTGTAGGCATACCGCCTTTACCGGTGTACCTCGTTACCAATCTACTAGAAAAATACAGTCTTTCCTGAAGTCTGGTTTCCAGCCAATTTTATCTTGTACTTGTTGCTATCTCAATTTCTGTACTAGTTGGAATTTTTCAAACATTATGCTTTGTGCCAGTATGCAGTGCCAAAGGACTAGGAAATAGAGATGTTACTATTCATATAATGTAAACCAGAACTAGTCTAATTATCATCTTGAAACGATAGTAAGGCACCATACAAAAAAAGATAATTTTACAAAATAAACTTTTCTTGTTTATCATTTGTCTTTTGTGTATTTTTTAACTCTAATTCCGAAGCAAAACTCAATACGAGGCAGTTTCACAGCCTACAAAGTACAATATTGAGGGCATGCTTCATGATGAGTGCATTTTGAGACGAAAAGCTGCGACCCACTTTAAAAGCAAAACAATATAAGAATGATCAGCAATTTGGTGTACATGGAAAATGAAGTGTGATGATGAAGTTTAATTTTTCAAAAAAAATTCAACCTCAAGGTAAAAAGTATGATCCTGTGTGCTTTTATCAGCTCTCAAACATTTGAAATTAGCCTTATTAATATTAGGCCAATTCTCCCAAGAAAGCCAATTATTTCCATACACAAGTTATCCTAACACTAAACAGTGTTACAATTGATGCTTCCGCAGCTCAGATGTGTCCTTCAAATTTACATGAACGCATCCTGCTTTGCACAAAAATCAACTAATGACCTATCCCAAGGACCCTAAAGCATTTTGTTTGAATGTTTGTTTTTATTGTCTTTCATAAAAAAAATACCCATGACTCGAGCCGAGCTCAAGGTACCTTTTTGGACTAGATCTGGTTTCACTTGAATGTCTTTTGCCTGCTACGAATGGTATGGTGGGAACAGCATCTGGTCTCAACCTCTTCCTGGGTTCGTAGCCCATGATTTTTGCTCTTATATCCTCTTCAAAGCACTCTGGTTTAAAGTGATCCTCGCATACTACTCTGGATCTTACGCATTCATAGTTTCTATCTTGAACTTTTGTGATCCCAAAATAGAGAGCCATTTTTCACATCTGTCCCTCTCCTTTTGAGGATTAGGTATTGAGAACATACTCTTCTTGAGTACACGACTGCTTCGATTTGGGCATCCTTTCACTTGACACCCAACCATGTTGAAATTGCCTTCAGTCACTTCAGTTTTATAGTTCACTCTTCACGATCCCCGGGGCCGGTAGAGGCAAGGAAGATATAGCACGGAAAATAGCACTAACCTTGCCCCTATCCTCTGGCTTAGCTGACGCGGCCGCGGCGTATCGGCCAGCGCCAGTAAATCCGATCCCTGAAGAATTACGCTGGTAATTATTCACACCTATATTCATTCCATATGTCAGTGCAGGTACCGGTACAGGTGTTGTTATTTCATAAAAAATCGTCGATACAACTTTGGCAATAACTAGGATAAGATGAGGGCAAAAGCAGGAGGTGGGAGGAGCAATTTCAGATTCGTCGAAGCAAACTGAATTTAGTGACCGACTACCTAGCTACATGTTGCTAGCTAGATACTGGCAGTGCAGTGATCTCCATATATCACGACGAAACTCGGGAAAATGTATTACATATTACAGAAAATTGATAACTCTCATAGAAGTAGGAAAAATGAAGGAACATCCTTAGAGAAATTCCATGAACTAAGAATTTGATGAACAATAAGAAAGTCTTAATTTTGTATCACCAATCTATTATTATGACAAGTTCTAAATCGGCTATGCGGTAATTTTCCATTTTTTCGCACGCGAAACTCTACACCACGCACATGTAGGGTAAGAGTAGTTATTTGTATACCCTGGATTTTTTCCTATCTCAACGATCTTTCATCCAGGATGAGGGGTCTAATTGGGGTCTATTCTATCATTAGAATGGAATCTTAAAATAAAAAATTAATGATGAACAGGGGGATTCAGAAATTCTTTTCTCTACCCCCCCCCCCCCCCCCCTTCGAATATGCATATCCTGGAATCCAACCTTGCTTCCATCACAGACTCCCCTCCCCTCTTTTTTCACTTTCTTCTTTACATACCTTTTTAAAAAAATCTCCTCTTATCCCCGGTCCTTCTTTCTAGCATCATTTACCAGCTTGCCAACTTGATATACTACCGTTAGTCAGGGAGGGGGTAAATTGCCTATTCCTCTCCTCGATCCCTCTCTCTCACTATTCCAAGCTGAATGTTAATCATATCAGGGACAACACTCTCCCTGATCATATGCTACCATCAGTTGTTTTCATTGGGAAATTTTGGACCGTCGATCATATTGCTATTCTAGCTCTCTCCTATAGTCACTATCCAACTTCCACTGTCCACATCGTTCATACCATTTTCCTTTTCATGTTAATTCCTTCCTTCTCTTCACATCTCTCTCTCTCTCCCTCTTTCTCCTCATGCACCCTTTTCAATTTCAACTGTGTGACAATCATACCATTAATGATTGTGAAATTCAAGATTTTTAGTCTTGGTAAAATCCATAAAAAATTATGTTATTTAAAAAAACTGTATTTTATCCACAGGGATGCATTGCATTTGACATTGCCCTCTTCCATCTAAAGACAAGGTGGAGTTCTGGTAAAGGTGAAGAAAAAAAGGTTATGACCCTCTTCAATCTCTTTCTGATAGTCTGATAGTGTGGAAGATAACATGATAGAAATGCCCCATAGCTGAAATGGAATACTTTTTTAATGCCCTCATTGCTTTTTATGTGTGTACCATTGGAATATATAAAGCTTTATGGGTACGATTCAATGTCTTTTAACAATACATAATTTTCTGTATTGATTCCCTTTAAACACACCCAAAGTGATCAAAATTATAGTTATGTTTACATTGATCAAAAATCAAAATGTATATGCAATTATGCATGTACTCGCAAGATTTTAAACTGTTGGGTCTTCCCATATTTCATCGTTTACAGGTCATTTGTATGTTAAAATGGTCATATCTAAAATAATTTAATATTTAATTTCTATGAAACAAGTATTTGTATCACAATCAACTTTAATACATATTTATCTCTTTAATACTGATTGTGCTGCATCTACATCTGAGCTTTTAAACTTTAAGTTGGTCCTGTAGATTTGATTTATCAAATAATATGTGTCTTTTCTTCATATTTTGTACAAGAGCTAGGGAAATCTACATTTCTGGGTACTGTATACACCCCCTCCCATATTTCATGTCTTCTCTAATGGCTGGTTTCCAGGTCTATCTTGTACTTGTTGCTATCTCAATGTCTATACTAGTTGGTAGTTTTTTAAACATGATGCTTTGGGCCAGTATGCTGTGCCAAAGGGATAGAAAATAGAAATGTTACTATTCCCATGGATGAGCATTACTGGACAGTGTGAGTCAAAAATAAGTTTACACCTAGAAAATTGCTAATTATTAAAAAAAAATCATCAATGAACATTAAATTGTTATGTCTTAACTCTTAAGAAAGAGCGTTTCATCCCAAATCATTTGGTACCATTTTTGTGTGGTATGTGTTCACGCTTGGATGAACAGGACATTGTTTGCGAGAGGGCAAACATCGATTTGCGCCAAAGTTGCCTATGTGATGTTTCAATAAAACAATAAGGATTTGGGTATTAATTCGGTCTTTGCAGATTCAAATAACATCCCTAACAAAATTAATCATGCCACACATATCAAATATCGAATATCAAATATCAGCGAACATTTGTGCGCGCGTATGTGGGTGTGTGTGACTTTGCCCTTTGCAAAAAAAACATATCCATTCATTTCATTTGATACATTCAATCCATTCTCTCACTCCGCTAATCCCAACATAATACATACTGTAGGCATCACTTTGGTGCAAGTCAATATTTGCACTCTCTCAAACAATGCCACCTGTTCATCCAAGCGTGAATACATACCACACAAAAATGGTACCAAATGATTTAGGATAAAACACTCTTTCATAAGATGTATAATAATTTACTGTTCATAAATGATTTTTAAAATAATTAACAATTTTCTAGGTGTAAACTTTTTTTTGACTCACTCGGTAGTGTGAACTAAAACTGGTCTAATTGTCTTGAAAGGATAGTGAAGCACCGTACAAGAAAAGATTATTTTTACAAAATAATGTCTGCTTGTTTATCATTTATTGTCTTTTGTGTATTTTGAACTCTAATTATGAGTTCATTTTGAGACCAAAAGCTGTGACCTGTGAAGCAAAACAATATAAAACATAAGAATGATCAGCAATGCTGTAAATGGAAAATGAAGTGTGTTGATGTAGTTTAATTTTTCGAAAAACCAATACCCAACCTGTCAAATAACCAGAAAAATTCAAATCAAAGGTGACTGACTGACAAGCATTCCTGTGTGCTTTTATCGGCTTTGCAAAAATTTGAAATTACTCAAATATTAGACCAACCCTCCCATGGCAGCCATTTATTTCCATACATAAGTTATCCTAAATACTGAATTTTGATTCATTTGCAAACAATTATTACAGTTCAAAATTGTAATAAAAATTCTTGTAAAACTGGTTCATAATCACATGCATGCAACATTGAACTACAAAATAATTTGAAAAAGGTCATTTTTT